GGGCTCCTCGTGGTGTGAGTCGTTCGGGACCCTCGTCGTGGTGTGAGTCGTTCGGGCTCTTCGTGGTGTGAGTCGTTCGGGCCCCTCGTCCCTCGCTTGGCGGCCCCAGGGGCTTCGAGAAGCGTCTAGGGTGCCTTGGGGGAGCCTCTTCGGGCCTCTTGGGAGCCTCTTGGAGGCCGTTTGGGGCGTCTTGGGGGCCTCTCGGCGGCCCCAGGGGCTTCCAGGAGCGTCTTGGGTGCCTCGGGGGAGCCTTTTGGGGCCTCTTGGGAGCCTCTTGGGGGCCTCTTGGGGGCCTCTTGGGGGCCTCTTGGGGCCTCTTGGGGCTCTTTGGGAGGGGTCTGGGAGGTATCTTGGGGCAATCTTTCGGGCGATCGATCACAGATGGGGCGTTTTTTTTCTCCCCCCCCCCGTCGGGGCCAGAATCCTCGTGAGGGGTGTCGTTTTTTTAGCCCTCCCAGGAGTCGAAAAAGACGCCTCCAACCACCCGCGAAAGGACCTCTCCAGGTCCAGGGGGAGGGGGTAGGGGGAGGGGTAAACCCCTCCCCGAAGGGGAAGAAAGGGGTTGAGAACAGAGCGGGCTCTCTAAACCACTCACGCCCAAAGGGCTGCTGGGATTCCTAGGACTGGTACTCCATGGGGCTAGCACTCCCTGCGGCTAGTACTCCGCAGGACTAGTAATCTCTTTGAATGATATTATCTAACACCAGCACTACAGCACCATAGTACTACCACACTACAGCACCACTACCACAATACCAGTACCACAACACCACAACACCGCTACCACAACACCACAGCACCGCTACCACAATACCACAACCACAGCACCACAACACCGCTACCACAACACCACTACCACAGCACCTTTGCCACTACCACAACACTACTACCTACTAGCAACTCAACAACACTACCAACACCACACCACTAACACAACACTACCAACACCACACCACTAACACAGCACACCACTACCAACACCACACCACTAACACAGCGTACAGCACAACCAGCCATTACCAACACCACACCACTAACACAACATTACCAACACCACACCACTGACACAGCACAGCGACCACCACACCACTAACACAGTACTGCTACCACGTTGGTTCCAGGTGGGAGTTACTGTGGCCACTTTTACCTGCGCGGGAGTGCATTCCCTTAAGGGTTGCGATTCTCTCCAGATCTAGCATGAGATACCTTTATATACTACTTTTCATTGAGCGGCCTGCGCGGGCCACAGTAACTCCCATCCCGCCGCGCGACGGGCCACACTAACACCCAACGGGCCACACTAACACCCAACGGGCCAGAGTAACAACCGGTCGCCCCCCGGGACCCCCCCGGGGACCCCTCCCGGCCCCCCCCCCCTCCGGGCGGGGGAGGGATCGAAGGGAAGGGGCTTCCCCTCGACTCAATTACGACGTTGCTCAACTTCGCTTTGGCTGGCGCGCTGAGGAGGTAGGTCCCTGGGGAAGGGTGGAGCTTCGACGAGCCCAGGGAAAAGGGGAGGCAGGAAAAGGGGACGACAGAGACGACGACCAACGAATGACGGAGATGACGACTTGAACGGGCAAGCCCCTCACACACGCCGACAGGGTCGGCAGACTTTCTTTGGTGCAGCTCTCTATGGGGCCACGACGCGCTGCACTGGGTGGGGGGGAACGCATGCGGGCGTTAGCACTGAGGCCGTCGGTGGAGCTTTCTATGGGGCCACGAAGCGCTGTACTGGGTGTTCCGGGACGCGTGCGGGCGGTAGCACCGGGGCCTTCGGTGGAGCTCCCTACGGGGCCACGAATCGCTGTACTGGGTGGGGGAGACGCATGCGGGCGGTAGCACTGGGGCCGTCGGAGGAGCTCCCTACGGGGATCGTTGCCCAGGGGGAGCGGACGCAGCGGAATTTCCGATGGATCGTTGCCCAGGGAGCGCGGACGCAGTGTAATTTATTAGGGATCCTGGTCCTGGGGGGGGCGGACACAGCGTAATTCTTGATGTGCCGTGTTTCCCCACCAGCCCATCCAGAAACGATTAGCAGGGGAGTTGGTGAATCAGGTACGACTGGAAGCATGCAGTTGCGCGGCTGTCTTCAGAAAAACACGGAACACAAAAAGCGTGACGCATGGAAGTTTAAGATGGAAATCAGTGCAAGATACGACGTGGTGGTCTTTGTGGTGAACGTCTCTAGCGCAGGTGGCTGAATCCACCCTGGGCCATGATACATAAGGATTACACAAAGCTTCCCGCAGCGAAGTTTAATATGACAGCCAGTGCAAGATACCCCGGGGAGTTCCCTGAGGTAAGCGTCTCTGGCGCAGGTCACTGTATCTATCATTCGTCGCCCTTGTCACAGAGTTGAGAGTCGCATCCCCATCTGCATCCTCGATCTCTGCCCCCGCACTGAAGTTCATCTTAAACTCGCGTGCGGCTGCTGGTGATGGTGGTGGTGGTGGTGGTGGCGGTGGTGGTGATGCTGCTGGTGTTGCTTCTTGTGGTGCTCTGTTGCCCTCTTGGAGTCATCTTGGAACAAATGGTGCTGCTGGTGCTGGTGATGCCTGGGGGCCATCTTGGGGGGTAAGAGGAGGAGGAGGAGGAGGAGGAGGAGGAGTAGGAGGAGGAGGAGGAGGAGGAGAAGGAGGGGAAGGAGGAGGAGGAGGAGGAAAAACAGAAGAGGAGGAGGGGAAGGAGGAGCAGGAGGAACGCGGCTCGAGGAGGATGAAGAGGAGCAGGGAGGCGGCAGGAAAGAAGCAAGGAAGGAACGGACGATGACAAAGAGGACGATAAGTAGGGCTTTTGGCATATGTCGTGGTGAGGGGTTCTTCGAAGACTCGTAATGCCATTTGGGCGCCATCTTGGGGTCCTCTTGGGGTCCTCCTGGGCCTTCTTGGGACCTTCTTGGGGCTTTCTTTGGGGGGGCCCTCTTGGGGCTCTTTTGGGGGGTCTGGGAGGCCTCTTGGGGCCGTCGTGGACCCCTTCGCTCCAAAAGAGGGGAGTGTTAAGTTAGGTCCCCCCCTCGGAGGCCCGACAGCGGCGTCTTGGGGCCCTCTTGGGCCGCTCTTTGGGCGCTCTTGGGCGCTCTTGGGGCCGTCTTGGGGCCTTCTTGGGCCTCTCTTGGGGCTATGTTGGGCCATCTTGAGGCCGTCTTGACGCCTCAAGAGCCCATCGGAAGCGAAACAGCGAAACGGCAACACACATAGATTTTCCTTACGTTTTGAACCAATTTTGGGTTCGTGGGGGGGTCCTTGGAGGGCTCGGAGGGCACTTGAAACCGTCTTGAGGCCTCTTGGATGCGTGTCGGAGGCTATCTTGAGCCATCTCGGAGTATCTTGGGCCATCTTGGAGGCCATCTTGGGCTATCTAAATCCTCTTGAAGCTATATTGGGCCATCTTGGACGCTCTAACCCCTCGGGCCCCCCGCTTCCAGTGCCAGTGGGGGGGGAGGGACGTAAACCTCCCGAGCAGGGAAAGGAAAGAGGTTGGAAAAGGAAACGCTCTAGACCACCGGTGCCCAGAGGGCTGGTGGGATTTATTGGGGATCCTTCCCCTGGGAGCGCGGACACAGTGTAATTGACTAGGGATCGTGGCCCTGGTGGCGCGGACGCAGCGTAGTTTACAATGGGTCGTGGCCCTGAGAGCGTGAACCTGGTGTAATTTACGATGGAGCGTGGCCCTCGGAGCGCGAACCCAGTGTAATTTGCGGGGGACCGTGGTCTTGGAGCGTGAATCCTGCGTAATTCTGAGAGCGCAGATCCAGAGGAATCTTCGAGGGGCCATGGCCTTGAAAGTGTGACCCCCGTAATTTACGAGAGGTCGTGGCCTTGGGAGCGCGGTCCCGTCGTAATGGCTTCGTTCATGGGTCCGCCGTGCGTTGCCCCTTTCTGATTCCGCGGTGTCTGGGGAGCGGAGGGCGGGGGGGAGGCAAACCGCATTTTGGAGCAGAAAAAGGGGTTTGCTTGGGAGCGCGGGTCCGTGCCACGTCCCGTGGCGCGTTCCCTTGCACGTTCCGTCGCGCGTCCCGTGGCGAGTCCCCCTGGCACGTCGCGCTGCGCGTCCCGTGGCACGTCCCGTGGCACGTCCATTGACCCGTTCCGTAGCGCGTCCCCTCGACACGCCCCGCGGTGCGCAGAGTGTCTGGCTATGGCCCGCGCACCTCTGCAGCCGCGCCCGCGATCTGGGCCTCTCGAAGACTCCCCCGGACTGAGGGTTGAGGCTCCAGGGGTTCGGCAAAGGACCTGGGGACACGCCAGCTCTGTGCCCAGAGGCACGGCGGCGGAGATTGGCAGGAACACACGGTTTGGGGTCCACGTTGGCTAACATGGTCCCCTAGGGGCTCTCTTGGGGGTGCTCCGAGGCCGATTGGGGCCCTCTTGGGTTGGTCTTGCAGCCTCTTGGACCATCTTGGAAGCCATTTGAGCCGTCTCAACTTGAGCCATCTTGGAGGTCATCTTGGGCTCTCTGAGGCCCTCTTGGCATCCTGGGCGCTCAATTGGTCGCGGGGAGCGGCAAACCCCTTCCCGAAGGGATACGGAGAAGGGATACGGAGGACTAGGAGGAGGATGAGGAGGATGAGGAGGAGGAGGAGGAGGAGGAGGAGGAGGAGAAGGAGGAGGGGAGAGAAACCGCTTTCAGACGCCTGCGCCCAGAGGGCTGGTGGGATTCACTGCACATCTGCTCCTCGTTCTGGAGGCTCGGATTTGCGGTTTTCGCGCCCCCGCACACTGGTTGCCCCTACAGTCAACCCGTATTATAAGGATGCGCGGTAAGGATGCAAGGGCCACGGAGGGCCGTGCTAAGATTTTTCGAACGAGGTGGGCCAACGAACGTCGCTGATGATGGGCCGAAGGGGCAAGGATGCAAGGGTACCCTCGGGGGTTTGGTCGCCCATCCCTATCGTGCGGGGTTGACTGTACAAATGATGCTGATGACCTCGCGTGCCTGTAGCTTTCCTGCGACTTGGCTGAAGCCATGCGTTGTCCGTGCCGTGCCGGTTTGGCGAGGCCTTCCCCTTCGCGTCGGAGATCGTCAGCAGCGTGCCCCGCCTCTGCCCCGCGCCCGCCCGCGCGTGCCGCCTGCGCCCCGCGGGTCACTCACTGGAAGATCCACGTGTTCTCGATTGGCTCTGGGCAGGACCGGGGAGCACATCATGGGAGCCTGGTAGATCCTTCTTGTCCCGTCGTTGGCGTCGGTGAGGTCGATCAGCGTCTTGGAGTCGATGAGATAGCGCCGATTTGGCGTCGGCTGGCGTCGATTAGTGCCGATTTAGCGTCGATTAGCGTCGACTACAGTGGAGGCCCATGCCAAGAAACACCCCGCTTGCTTCCAGGGTGCCCTGGGTTTCTTGGGTTTCGATGGTTTCGCCATGGAAAGCGTGACGTTGCCACACCAAAAATCAGTGGACGTCCTGGGGTCTCAGGGTTGGGTTTCTTGTGGAAGGTTTCTTGTGGTCGGGCCTCCACTGTACAGCATTCTCCCTTTCTCTTCAAAAGCACATCATGGGAGCCTGATGTGTCCTTTTTGCTTCGTCTTTAGCGTCGGTGAGCGTCGATCAGCGTCTTGGAGTCGATGAGATAGCGCCGATTTGGCGTCGATTAGCGTCGATTTAGCGTCGACTACAGTGGAGGCCCATGCCAAGAAACACCCCGCTTGTCTCCAGGGTGCCCTGGGCTTCTTGGGTTTCGATGGTTTTGCTATGGAAAGCGTGACGTTCCCACACCCAAAAATCAGTGGACGTCCTTCCGTAGCCATTTTGGCTCAAGACCACACAAGTAGCATCAAGCCATTTTCAGTATTGCACACACATACGTGATAAGGTGAGCCCATGGTGCTCAAGGCTATCTTCCACCCACTGTTTGCTAACGTCGCCCTGCCCCTGCAGGCTTTGACGCTGGAGAATGCCGCCGATGAGGCACTGCTCAGGCGTGCCAGTCATGGCGCTGCAGCAGAAGAAGCCGGCAGTCGCAGTGGCATGGTAGACCTCCAGCACCTCATGGTCCAACACGCCGCGTCGGAGACCGAGCTCCATGCCCGTGCGGCCGAGACGTGGCGCAAGTATGCTAGCCAGCTGGCCAATAGTGGCTGCAGCTATAAAGGTGGCTTGCTGCCTTGCCCCAGTGGCAACATCTGTTATTACACAGGGCATGGAGGTTTGAACGTGACGGCCACAGCGGAGTATCGCGGGAGTATCATCAAGACAGTCTTAACCCCCGACCCAGATGCTGCAGTCGACCAGAAGTCGTGACGTTTATGGGGGCTAGCACCGACCATGCTCCTGCAATGTTGATGGACGTACCTGCAGAATACCGCAGAACAGCGAACCCTGTGATGTTGAAGATGTTCTTCGTAGAGGACACCGATAACGTTACTGAGCAGTGCCCTCATGACAGTGAGCGCGTGGAGTCCGTGGCGAACAGCACCGCGCCGTTCAAGAAAGAGAACACCACGATCGCAGTTTCAGCGCAAAGCCCAGACACGTTCTTGGGCATGGAGTTCGATCTCGTCAGCGAGGCACCTGTGGGTCACACCCTGGCCTTCGAGATCCCTTCCGGGACGGAGATCGTCTGGGTGAGCCGTGAAGAGATGGTCGATGTGCTCAAAACGCAGGAGATGCCGGCTTCCCTCGAAAGGCGCTTAGAGGCGCAGTCACGCAAAGCTTCTTTGGCCAAGGGGATGGATGTCGCGCTCACGCAGAAATCAGATAGGCGGTGCAGGCGGCGCAGGGCTCCGTCGTGCACAGGTGAAGAGATTATGGCAGGAGGTGCCGCCGCCATGGTCGTCGGCTTCTTGGTCTGCGCGTTTACTTTCATAGGCTGCTTCACGGCGTGGCCGTTCTTGGTTACTATGGGGGGTATAGTCGTGAGAAACGGTGCTTGCTCATGCTGGGCTAACGATAATTCTGGGCGGGCTTCCTGTGCGTTCCGGCGAGGGCGGCGAGGGTTGCGAGTGTGCTGTAGCGGTCTCCAATTTCTGCTCCAATTGCAGTTGGCAGGCTGGCTGGCGACCATGTGGTGCATGGACGCCTCCCTGGCCAAGCCAGGAGGGTGTCCACACCGCTCCTCGGCACAGGATGGGCCTGGCAGGGCCCATCGCCCTGTGCAGGGCGGCGGGGCCTGTACCTAGACCGTGTCCTGGGAAGTCTTGGTCAGAACGAGCAAAGGGCTGGCCATCGAGCCCGCTGATGGGGCGTGGCCGGAGACACTGGACGTGTATTAAACACTTCGCCACCCGCAAGTAGCAGGGGGGCACTGTCGCCGCTCGCAATGCAGACAGTGGCGTACACCCGCATGTAGCAGGGGGGGCCATGTCCGCTTGCACCGCAGGAGACAGTGCCTGGTGCATACTGTGCCAGCTCGAAAGAGAGCCCCGCTGAGGTCCATTACGTCGCCTGCATCGCGACGTTGGCTCTCTGGGCGGGGTGTCTCCGGTGGGGTGTCAGGCAGGAGAAGGAGAAGGAGGAGGAGGAGGAGGAGGAGGAGGAGGAGGAGGAGATACCGCAGGTGGTTGACGCTGCCTTCCGTGCTCCGTGCGGCCCTCGAGGTCGCCCGTGCACGAGGGCGGCCAGCACACCGCGACCTTGTTGTCGGCAGTGGCCTCGGCCTTGGCTCCCTGCTCCGTTTTTTCTGCTGATGGCCATTCTCTGCGACCAGCAGCTTCTGCACATCACGATCGTAGCGCAGATGCAGTCGATCTTTTCACTCTGCCTGCTGCTAGCTGTTACGGGTCATCAAGAATCGCCACGATCAACTTTTCGACAGCGCATCGCAACGTCGTGCCGTCCAGACTCTAGGATGGCTGCGGGGCCAGCTTCTGCTCTCGTTGTTTTCCCGCCCTTCCCGCTCTCTCTTTCTGGGGCCGCGAGCGCTTCAACCCGCTCGTGTCAGCAGGCCAAGGCCGGCTCGAGCCCTCGCTTCTGTGCGCCAGAATCTGGAAACAAATACATAAAGTAAGGATAAACAAAAATCAGTGGACGTCCTGGGGTCTCAGGGTTGGGTTTCTTGTCGAAGGTTTCTTGTGGTCGGGCCTCCACTGTACAGCATTCCCCCGTTCTCTTCGATAGCACATCATGGGAGCCTGGTAGATCCTTTTTGTTTCGTCGTTAGCGTCGGTGAGCGTCGATCAGCGTCTTGGAGTCGATGAGATAGCGCCGATTTAGCGTCGGTTAGCGTCGATTTAGCGTCGATTAGCGTCGACTACAGTGGAAACCCATGCCAAGAAACACCCTGCTTGCCTCCAGGGTGCCCTGGGCTTCTTGGGTTTCGATGGTTTTGCTATGGAAAGCGTGACGTTCCCACACCGAAAATCAGTGGACGTCCTGGGGTCTCGAGGTTGGGTTTCTTACGCTTGCGGAAGGTTTCGTGTGGTCGGGCCTCCACTGTACAGCATTCCCCCGTTCTCTTAGATAGCACATCATGGGAGCCTGGTAGATCCTTTTTGTTTCGTCGTTAGCGTCGGTGAGCGTCGATCAGCGTCTTGGAGTCGATGAGATAGCGCCGATTTAGCGTCGGTTAGCGTCGATTTAGCGTCGATTAGCGTTGACTACAGTGGAAACCCATGCCAAGAAACACCCCGCTTGCCTCCAGGGTGCCCTGGGCTTCTTGGGTTTCGATGGTTTTGCTACGGAACGCGTGACGTTCCCACACAAGAAATCGATGGACGTCCTGGGGTCTCAGGGTTGGGTTTCTTGTGGAAGGTTTCGTGTAGTCGGGCCTCCACTGTACAGCATTCTCCCGTTCTCTTCGATCTTACATCATGGGAGCCTGGTAGATCCTTTTTGTTTCGTCTTTAGCGTGGGTGAGCGTCGATCAGCGTCTGGGAGTCGATGAGACAGCGCCGATTTAGCGTCGGTCAGCGTCGATTAGCGTCGATTTAGTGTCGATTAGCGTCGACTACAGTGGAAACCCACGCCAAGAAACACCCTGCTTGCCTCCAGGGTGCCCTGGGTTTCTTAGATTTCGATGGTTTTGCTACGGCAAGCGTGACTTTCCCATACCAAAAATCGATGGACGTCCTGGGGTCTCAGGGTTGGGTTTCTTATGGAAGGTTTCTTGTGGTCGGGCCTCCACTGTACAGCATTCTCCCAGTCTCTTCGGTAGCAAACCATGGGAGCCTGGTAGGTCCTTTTTGTTTCGTCGTTAGCGTTGATCCGGGTCGATTAGCGTCTGGGAGTCGATGCGACAGCTTCGATTCAGCTTCGGTTAGCGTCGATTAGCGTCGACTTAGCATCGATTAGCGTCGACTAGCGTCGATCAGTGTCGATTCTCAAGAGCCGACAAGATGGTATGATAGGCTCCCATGAGTTGCCACCGAAGCATTCCCGTTCTCGCCTCTCTTCTTGGAGTTGTCGCTGCGTTCATCCTCTCAGCGCTGTCTCGGAGGGGTCTGCATAGTTCTGCGGTCGAGATCGGAATCTCGGCGTGTGAGAAAATCTGCGTGGCATCTACAGAGTGAGCTACTTCTCTCCCTCTCCTCTGTCCCTTGTCAGAGGAAGGGAGAGGCGGCAGGAAGACATCGTTAGGTAATCGCTCCAGACCTACACTGCCTCCTGAGGCCCAAGGTTGACCCTGCTCTTCCTCGAGCGCTCCCGCCGAACGTCCCGCTGCTCCGCCTTCGATGGGTAGGTGGGGATCTTCCAGAGCCCTGTAAGAACTTTCGGTCTCAGGTTGGGGATCCCATGGATGGGCCGGGGGTACGGTGTGCAGGGCTCCGGGGGGGCTTGCGCATCCAGGACTGGAGAGAGGCGATGACAGGAGGGTCGGGGGCTGGAAGGCGGGGATGGGAAACTGTCCATTGGAGGCGCTTACGGTAGGTTCGTGTCGTGTCGACCGGCGGCGACCCCGCCAGCGGCGTTCAACGTTGAACGCCGGCGGCGGCCCAGAATCGGTCGATGTTGAACGATCGGACGTTGCGGAGACGGCCGATCGTTCAAGGTTGAACGATCCAGCGCGGTGTCGGGAACCAACGCCGGGGTCGACACGACAGGAACCTGCAGTAGGGCTGGGTGTCCCTGGACGGGGGCGGACGGGGGTAGCAGCAAAAAAACGTCCTTCCAGGCAAGGCGTGTAAGCCGTTTTGTTCCCGGAGAGGGCTCCGGCCCAGGGTTCTCGTTTGGTACGGTAGGTTTGCGTCGTGTCGACCCGCGGCGACCCCAGCGCGGACGTTCAAGGTTGAACGCCGCCGGCGACCCAGAATCGATCGATGTAGAACGATCGGACGTTGCGGCAGCGGCCGATCGTTCAAGGTTGAACGATCCCTGCGGTGTCAAAAACCAACGCTGGGGTCGGCACGACACGAACCTGCCGTAGGTTTTCCCCCCGGCACCTGAGGGAAGAGGGCCGGCGAAGTTATTCTGCGATGAACTACAAGGTAGAATGTGCATTTCCTGTTGAAGACGAAATCCAAGAAAATATGGGAAACCATGGGAAATCCTGGGTTCGTGCGGGAATTTCGAGGATGTCTTGACTAATGCGCTTGTTTTTCCAGGATTTCCTTGGCCACACAGGAGTTTTTGCGTGCCCGCTCGAGGAAAGTTCGCCCCCCATCTCGGATCCTCGATAAAAAACCGGGTCCGCAGACCACCTGTTTCTTTCGTGCAAAAGAGGGTGCGGCGCATTTTTCGCAGAATCTTCGAACAAAAACCGAGGTCTGGAGCCCTCACCAGGGCACAATTATCCTGGCGAAGAACCCAACCATTTGCAGTGGTGAGTACCGTCGTTGCTGGTATCGCCTTCGGAGGATCTTCTCACGCGGCCATGAAGCATACGAAGGGTGTGCCGATGTGGGGCGGGGCCGCCACGGGGCCGCGAAACGTGTGAGGGGTGCGCCGCAGTGGGGCGGGGCCGCCTCTGGGGCCTTCGGTGGAACTCCCTACGGGGCAACGAGACAGCGTAATTTGTGGGGAAACGCATGCGAGTACAGCCACTGGGGCCTTCGGTGCAGCTCCCCATGAGGCCACGAAGCGCTGTACTGGGTGGGGGGACCGCATGCGAACACCGCCAATGGGGCCTTCAGTGGAACTCCCTACGGGGCAACGAAACAGTGTAATGGGTGGGGAAACGCCTGCGAGTAGAGCCACCGGGGCCTTAGGTGCAGCTCCCGATGAGGCCACGAAGCGCTGTGCTGGGTGGGGGGAACGCATGCGAACACCGCCACTGGGCCCTTCGTTGGAGCTCCTATGGATGGGGCCACGAAACGCTGCACTGGGCGGGGGTGACGCATGCATGTGCATCCACTGGGGCCTCCCGTTGAATGCCTTACGGGGCCACGAAACGCTGTGCTGGGTGGGGTGTGACGCATGCGGACGGTGCCACTGAGGACTTCGGTGGAGCTCCCTATGGGGCCACGAAGCGCTGTACTCGGTGGGGGTGACGCATGCGGGCGGTGTCACTGGGGCCTTCGGTGGAGCTCCCTATGGGGCCACGAAACGCTGTACTTGGTGGGGGTGACGCATGCGGGCGGTGCCACTGGGTCCTTCGGTGGAGCTCCCTATGGAGCCACGAAGCGCTGTGTACTGGGTGGGTGTGGCGCATGCGGGCGGTGCCACTGGGGCCTTCGGTGGAGCTCTCTGTGGAGTCACGAAACGCTGTACTGGGTGGGGGTGACGCATGCGGGCGGTGCCACTGGGGCCTTTGGTGGAGCTCCCCATGGAGCCACGAAGCGCTGTACTGGGAGGGGGGTGACGCATGCGGGCGGTGCAACTGGGGCCCTCGGTGGAGCTCCCTATGGAGCCACGAAGTGCTGTACTGGGTGGGGGTGACGCATGCGGGCGGTGCCACTGTGGCCTTCGGCGGAGCCCCCTATGGGGCCACGAAGCGCTGTGCTGGGTGGGGGATGACGCATGCGGGCGGTGCCACTGTGGCCTTTGGTGGAACTCCCTATCGGGCCACGAAGCGTTGTACTGGGTGGGGGGTGACGCATGCGGGCGGTGTCACTGGGTCCTTCGGTGGAGCTCCCTATGGAGCCACGAAGCGCTGTACTCGGTGGGGGTGACGCATGCGGGCGGTGCCACTGGGGGCTTCGGCGGAGCTCCCTATGGGGCCACGAAGCGCTGTACTACGTGGGGGTGATGCATGCGGGCGGTGCCACTGTGGCCTTCGGTGGAGCTCCCTATGGGGCCACGAAGC